TCAAGGCCACAAGCTTCCTGGTCAGTTCTCCATAAAAGACTCCCACCAGAAGCCCTCACTGGCAACCCACTCAGGACCCCTCTCATTCTGGAGAGCTTTTTCCCCCTTTCCATTCTCATCTCCACTTAACAAGTTTCACTTTGCTTCACCCTTTTCTTTCAGTGAGATTCATTCTTGGACTCCATGAGACAAGACCCTCACACCCCTGTAACAGCAGGAGAGAGGAGAGAAGGCCATCCCCATCCCAGTCTGAGCCGCTGTCACTGGATGACGTACCCTTAAGGTCGGGAACCCCCTGAAACCTCCAAGCCAGGGCTCACAGAGGGAAGACATGTTGATAGGGACTGCCAACCCCTCAGGGACTGTGCAAAGGCTATCTCTCAAAAGGGAGGCCTCAGCTCGGGCTCACCAGCCTTCTGGAGGCGGGACACCCAGCCCACAGCCAACAGCAGAGGCTGTCAGAGCTCTGGAAGACTCAGGCTGTCCATGGCTGAGGAGGGGCTCCCAGAGGAGTTTCTGCCCATGGCCACAGGTCAGACCTCCTGGGCCCCTGCACTGACCCTGAAGTCCCAGAAGCCTTTGGTGATGGAACTCAGTGAGCTCTGTGCTCCCCCGGACCCAGGCCTGGGACTGGGGGTCTGCGCCGTCCACACGGCTCCCCCAGTAAGACACATAAAATTAACCACCCCAGGGCCTACTTCTTGGTTCCATATTGAATTATATTGATAAGACTATATACTCATTGCCAAAATGAATACTTTTAATACTTAAGTTTATAAGAAATGTTCATATTTGACAGGCTAGCCTACCCATTAGTCTTAATTATTTTCATTTCCTTGCTATTCGCTTTTATTTTTACACATTATCTTTTTAACCTGTTTGGAAAATTCCACAAAGTAAATTATTATTTTTATAGGAATACATTAACATATGGAGACCTGATGTGTTTATAACACTGAGTATTTCTCTCGGAGAGCACATTATGCCTTTCCATTTGTTTCTTTTCTTTCTGTCATTATCCTTTTGAATGTTTCTTATTTTTGGCCAAGTCTTGGTTTGGAGAGTTCTTTTGAAGGGGTCTAAGTTTTGTTTCAATTTTGCTATTTATTGGGTTCTTTAACTGTACCGCATCTTATCCAACAGGAAGAGACCACCTTGCAAATGTATCCCTACTTCACCTATAGCAGGTGAACTTCTCTCCTAACCCTGCAGGAGGAAGGATGTTTTCCTAGCTGTTGGGTCGGTGGGCTCCGGGAGTGCAGGAGGAACAATAGAAATGACCGGTCCCGCTGTCTTCCAGCCTACCCCCCCTCCTTAACTCTTGACTCTCCCGCCAAAAGGATGTATGCCCAGGTCAGGTCTCCATAGGTAACTGATACCTCTGCAGGAGACAGATAAAAGACCCCCCCCAACTCCCTCCCAGCACGACTTCCCCCACTCTGCTTTCCAGAGTTGCGGAACCTCCCCCGAGGGTGCCCACCTCCTCCCGGTGCAACTTTCCTGGCTCCCCTTCTCCTGAGCCCTGAAACTTTGCCAGAGAGTGCCTTTAATAAATCTTGCCTTGCACCCACTTCGCCTGGTGTCGTGTTTATCTCGCCTATAAAACCTTACACTAGTAATAGCCTGGCCAACGAGAGACAGTCCTAGCTCAGCCAAGGAGAAGTCTCGGTGCTTCAACTCCCTTTACTCCTGTAAACTTTTTGTCTATAATGGCCTTCCCAAACCCCTTCTCCTCTCTAAAAGATAGCCCTCTCCTTTGTTCTGAGGGCCATCCTATGGTTTTGCCCTCATTTGCTAGTCCTGGATTGCAATTCTCTGCTATTCCAGGATAAAGCCCTTTCTGCTGCTAAAATTACTGGCAGCTTTCTTTTTAAGGTTAACAGTGAGCACTTGAAGAGCAATATTTTTTTTTTTAATCTCACATTTCTTTGAACCATAAAGCTGACAGCAGGGACCACATAGATGCTCACGCACAAGACCGACCATCAACTCTGCACCCACCCAAACATCGACCACTACACAGATGGTCTCACAATTTCCGAAAGCTCCCCACTTTCTCACTGCTCCCTCTACTCCCAGCCCCCACCCAGCACTCTTCTCGGGGGAACCTGAGAGGTCTGTGGGCCCTTAGAGGTCCGATCGACCACTCCCTTCATGACGGCTGAGCTGGGCAAACTTTGCCTGGAATCTGGCGGTCCTTCCTTGGTAAGAATTCCCGCTTTGGAGCCCTACTTCAGGGAAACTGTGTTATGTTTTTATGTTCAAAATTTAGTAAAAGCCAGAAACACTATTCCCATTTTATCTTCTGAAAACCAGTAGGTCTTAAACTGGCCCACCTCAGTGGACTGAGTGTCCTTATAATTGATGCTTCATTTTTATGCAAAATACTTGCATATTATTTCAGGGTTTTTTTCCTTTGATTTTATTTATGTCTCCTTCCTTCTGATGACTTTTCTTCTTTTTTTAGTACGGAGCACTTCACAGACGTGCATGTCATCCTCCAACAGGAAGCATGCTAATCTTCTCTGTATTATGTCCACTAAGCCAGCACTACTTCTGATGACTTTGAGACCTACATTATTTAAACACGGTTTTTACTCATAAACTCCACTTCCACTTTTAGCTTAAGAATTCTAAGTGGCAGCACCTGAGTGCTCAGTTAGTTAAGCATCCGTCTTTGGATTTCAGCTCAGGTCATGAACTGAGGGTCGTGAGATCAAGCTCTGGATGGAGCCCCACCTCGAGCCCCAATCCAGGCTCCTCACTGGGCATGGAACCTGCTCGAGATTCTCTATCTCTCTATCTCTCTCTCCCTTCCTCTGCCCCTCACCACCGCCCCCCCACCTCGTGCTCTCTCTCCAAAAAAAAAAAAAAAAAAAAAAAAAAGAAAGAAAGAAAAGAAAAGATAAAGAATTCTCAGTGGTTTTCTAATATACCTACTCTTCTGTTTGTCGGGTTTAAAGCTTTGAGCCGTGTAGACTTTATTTGATGTCTATACTTTGTTTCATCACACATTACTGAATTACACAGTTGTCCCCTGAATGTAATGCAATATTCATTGTACACTAAATGGTCACGTCTAGCTATTACTAAAGATGGATTCTACCAGGAAGGGCACAGATGGCCTGGGAGACCCTTCCAGGGCCTGAAAGTCTGGTCGAGCAAAGAATCTTTGTGCCAGGTCCACCCTAAAGACCTGCGGTCAGCTCAACACGCTAGGCTCAGCCTGGGCTGCAGGGCACTCTGCTCCGTCTCCTGCCCTGCCCCGCCTTCACCAGCGTCTGGGTACCGAACAGTCAAGGAAAACTTCCATACTGCGCCTGCGCGCTGATGTTTCTTGACAGACACGTACTGGACTCCGAGCAGCCAATCCCCGCGGGGTGGGGCGGGACCGTCCACGGGGGTGGGGTTCTGCCGGTGACTGACACACGCAGCTGGCCCTACGCTCCGCCCCTTCAGGCCCCTCCTGCACGCCGATTGGAAGGGCTACTTTGCTTGCAGCGCTGATTGGTGGCTTCTGCCTGACAGTGCAGTACAAACCGGTATCGCGCCGGCGACCGCGTCTCACTTCTCACCAGGCTGGAAGCGCGCCGGGCCTCTGCGAGGGCGCCAGACCAGGGTGGGCAGTGAGGGCCTCCAGGGAGACTGACGGGAACACGGACGCCCCTGCAGTGCCCTGTGAAACTCTTCTAAACCCTGACTCTGAAACCTTCAAACCTCACCCGGGAGACCCTGGGACCCCTCACCCTGTCTGGCTCCAACTCCCCTCAGCCCCTCCAACTCCAACACCAAATCTCGCCGCCTCAAGGGAACCCAATTTCTCTGCCTTGGGGGGTCCTCACAGCTCGACGGGAGACCCCCCCCAACCCCCAAGCACCTCAGCTGCAGAAACCTCAAATCCTCACCCAGAGAAACACTAAATCCCTAATACTTAGAGGGCCCAAATCCCCCTGAGTAACACAAATCACCCTCGGCCTGAGGCACCCCCAAAACCCTCAGCCCGAGATACCCGAAATGTACGCCCACAGAGAGCACATCCCCCCAGCCTCAGAGACCCTGAGGACCATCAGCCTGCAAGCTCGTAAATCCCTCCGGCTCCACAGACCCCAAGGAATCTCCACGTCAGAAAACCTAAAGCCGGTTCACGAGAGACTACGGATCTTAGAACGCGACACCTCTAATCTCTTCAGTCTCCAAGATCCCACATTCTCTCAGCCTGAGCGTTCTCAATCTCTCCAGCCTGAAAGACCCCAAATCTTGTCCTGAGAGACTGCCAACACCGTCAGCCTGAGGAACCCCAGATGTCCTCTGCCGGTCGCCCCAGATACCCTTGACATGAGAGACCCCAACCCCTCCCCCGAGTGAGACCAAATCCCTTCACCCCGAGATCTCTCTGTCCCTTGGAGATCCAGACTGCTCACACCACATTTTTCCAGAATCCCCGGTGGGACATCCCGAGAAACCCTCCTTTGGGAAGTACTCACGTCCTCCCTGGAGCAGAGCTGTGGGCGTCTGTCAGCAGCCCCAGCCTTCAGGGACCCCCAGGCCTCCTCGGTGCTCTTCCGGCCTTGCACCTCAGGACTCCCAGCAAACGCTGGCAGCCACATCCCTCCAGCTTCCCTGCCTCAGACGGCCAAGCTGCAGGGAATAAAAGAAACAAAACCTAACTCTCGTTAGTATGTCTGTCAAGGCCAGGAGAGACTCCTCCCTGCCCCCAAGACCCCAGACCTCGCCTGCATCTTCTAATCCTCTCTGGGGCCCCCACATGTTCTTGCTCTAGGCCCCCCGCCCAAATGAGGAAGACAGACACGGCTCCGGGCAGTGGTCTGGGCTGTCACCCACTCTCAGCACCTTCTTCTTCCACAGGCGCTTTGGCCTTGGGACAGAGAGACTCATGAGGCCACTGACGGCCTCAGAGTCTGAGCAGGGCCTGCCTGGAGGTCCCAGCACCAGGAGCCTCAACAGGCCCCCAGAGGAGACCCCTGAGAGAGACTCGGGGAGAACAGGGTGGAAGCCCACGGTGAGAGGTGTGGGAGAAGCTGGGCTCCAGGCACGGTCTGTAGGAAGGTCGAGGAGGGGGTGGTGACAAGGAGCTGCTCCCTGGAGCACCACAGACTCCTGGCCTCCACCGGCGGGGGAGCCTCTCCATGCATGGACACAGGGTGGAGGCGCTTGCTCCTTTACAGGATGGGGGAGGGGACACAGGACAGAACCATCAGCAATGGCTCTTTGTCAGAAGACAGCTAGGGAAATGCTCAGCGCTTGTTCGGTTCATCAGGACACCCTCAGGAGGGAGAGAAGCCCTTCACCCCGCTTCACAGGAGCACTCCGAGGAATCGGGGAACGCACTACATTTAAGGTGGGGGGAGGCCCAGCTCGAAGTCCCAACTGGGGTTAGTAAGGCACTGATGGAATCTCTCCTTTCCCTAGGCCAAAGATGCTTTCAAAGACATTTCCATGTACTTCTCCAAGGAAGAATGGACAGAGATGGGAGACTGGGAGAAAATCCGACACAGGAATGTGAAAAGGAACTACGAAGCCCTGATAACTATAGGTAACCGGAAGTGCTGCGTGCTGATGAGCTGGGAAAACATGAGCCAGGCCTGCGGCCCTGTCGTCGTTGGCCTCTGGAGTGGCTCCGTCTACTCCTAGTTCCCTTCCGTGTGAAGACAAATCTGGAGCGAAACTGTGCTCTTCCCTATCAGAGTAGGGCTCGCGCTGGCGATGCAGAACTCACCCCTTGCCCTCCCCTCAACTCCGCCAGCTGAGTCGCCCTGACTGGGTGGTACTGTCCACTGCCACTGTGCTTGGTTCCTCCTTCTACCTCTTCCCTCTGAGGACCAGAAGTCTGCTTCTTTCCAGGTCTCAGAGCCCCTCGACCGGCTTTCATGTGTCACCGCCGGCAGGCCATCAAACCACAAGTAGATGACACTGAGGATTCGGATGAAGAATGGACGCCAAGGCAGCAAGGTGAGGGGGGCGAGGGAGATGTCGGGTTTCCTCCTAAAACCCAAGGTTCAGGGCTCAGCTGCATCTCAGGAGTCAACAAAGGAAACTCGTTCCTTAAAAACATAAACCCAAGATGTAAAACAGCATATCATATAGTAAGAGGGTATTCATATAAAGGTTTTTTTTTAAGATTTTATTTATTTGACAGAGAGAGATCACAAGTAGGCAGAGAGGCAGGCAGAGAGAGAGGGAGAAGCAGGCTCCCTGCTGAGAAGAGAGCCCGGTGTGGGGCTCGATCCCAGGACCCTGGGATCATGACCTGAGCCGAAGGCAGAGGCTTAACCCACTGAGCCACCCAGGCGCCCCCATATAAAGTTTTTAAATGTGGACAATAATTATATCATTTGTAAATACACTAATAGTGTATAATAGTTGGTAAACATATAAAAACAAAAGAAATGCCAAATTCAGAATAGTTATAAGAGAAAATGGAAAGGGTGGCAAGTGGTTCTGCTGTGTCTTGGCTAGTTATCTCTCTTTTTTTAAAGATTCCATTTATTTGAGTGAGAGAGAGAGAGAGCACGTGCACGAGAGCCCAGGTTGGGGGAGGGGCAGACAGAGAGGGAGAAACAGACTCCCCGCCGAGCAGGGAGCCTGAAGCAGGCCAATGCCAGGACCCTGGGGTCATGACCTGAGCTGAAGGCAAAAACTTAACCAATTGAGCCACCCAGGTGCCCTATTTTTCTATTTGTTTTTATTTTTGTTTTTGAATTTTAAAAAAAAAGTTAAAAGCTATAAAGATAAAAATAAAAAATAAAGATATACAGTTGTGGCAGAATGTTGAGATAAGGCTGAATGGTGGTGGATATGGTGGTGGTTTTACATATGATTCTCCACACCTTTTTATATATTTAAAATTCATCATTTTTTTTAAAAAGGCTGTTTTTCCTAAACATTATTACCTAATGAAAGGGCAGTTAAAGAAACCTTAATTAGACTGTAAGTCCACCAAAGAGCTAATCTCTGTGATTCCTATTACTCAATTATTGGATTAAATGTCTTAGAAGAGAATATGATGAACATATGTAAAGATACATCCTTGTTTATGTTTATTTAATCACACACATAATCTTGTTACCCCAAAATGAGCCAGATTCTTTTTCTTATCATCCAGAGTCTTAATTCTGGATGAGGGTTTGAGATAATTATGGAAAGGTCCATCTTCATTTTTTTTAAGTTTTCATTTTAATTCCAGTTAGTTAACATACAGTGTTGTTATATTAGTTTCAGGTATGTAATATAGTAATTAACACTTCCATGCAACCTGTGCTTATCATAATAAGTGCACTCCTTAATCCCCATAACCTATTTAACTCATCCCCTCACCCACCTCCCCCCTGGTAACCATCAGTGTGTTCTCCTCTATAGTTTGGAATTTGTTTCTTGGTTTGCCTCTTTTTTTCCCCTTTGCTCATTTGTTTTGTTTCTTAAATTCCACACATCAGTGAAATCATGTGGTAATTATCCTTCTCTGAACGACTTATGTCACATAGTATAATACTCTTGTTCCATCCATGTTGTTGCAAATGGCAAGATTTCATTCTTTTTTATAGCTAATATTCATATATATTATATAGAGATATAGAGATATTTATATGTATATATGTATATGTATATATAACACATCTTCTTTATCCATTTGTCAGTTGGACACTTGGACTATTTCCGTAGTTTGGCTATTGTAGATATTGATGGTATAAACACTGGGGTGCATGTATCCCTTTGAAACAGTACTTTTTTATTCTTTGAGTAATATCTAGTAGTGCAATTGCTGGATCATAGGGTAGTTCTATTTATAACTTTTTAGGAAACTCCGTTCTGTTTTCTGGAGTAGCTGCACTAGTTTGCATTCTCACCAACAGTGCAAGAGGGTTCCCCTTTCTCCACATCCTCACCCTGTGCTGTGACAGGTGTGAGATGACATCTTCGGTAGCTTTTATTTGTATTTCCCTGATGATCAGTGACAGTGAGCATCTTTTCATGTCTGTTGGCCATCTGTATGTCTTTTTTGAAAAAAATGTCTATTCATGTCTTCTGCCCATTTTTTAATTGGATTATTCATTTTGGAGGTGTTGAGTTCTTTAAATTCTTTATATATTTTGGATAGTAGCCGTTTATCAGATATGTCATTTGTGGGGCACCTGGGTGGCACAGTGGGTTAAGGCCTCTGCCTTCGCCTCAGCTCATGATCCCAGGGTCCTGGGATAGAGCCCCGCATTGGGCTCTCTTCTCAGCGGGGAGCCTGCTTCCCCCCTCTCTCTGCCTGACTCTCAGCCTACTTGTGGTCTCTGTATGTCAAATAAATAAATAAAATCTTAAAAAAAAAAAGATATGTCATTTGCAAATATCTTCTCCCATTCTGTAGGCAGCCTTTTAATTTTGTTGGTTGCTTCCTTCACTGTGCAGGTTTTCATTTCAATGTAGTCCCAGTAGTTTATTTCTGCTTGTTTCCCTTGACTCAGGAGACATATCTAGAAAGACGTATCTGTGACCAGTGGCAAAGAGGTTACTGCCTGTGCTCTCCTCCAGGATTCTTATGGTATTAGGTCTTGCATTTAGGTTTTCAATCCATTCTGAATTTATTTTTGTGTTCGGTGTAAGGAAGTTGCCCAGTTTCATTCTCTTGCATGTTGCTGTCCAGTTTTCCCAACACCATTTGCTGAAGAGATTTATCATTTTCTCATTGGATATTCTTTATGGCTTTGTTGAAGATCAATTGATCATATAGTTGTGGATTCACTTTTGGGTTTTCTGTCTGTTCCATTGATCTCTGTGTCTATGTTTATGCCAGTACCATACTGTTTTAATTACTAGAGCTTTGTAATAGGACTTGAAGTCCAGAATTGTGTTACCTCCAGCTTTTCTCTTCTTTTTTAAGGCATCTTTATTCTTTTGCATGTGACTATTCTATTCTCTCAGCATCATTTGTTGAAAAGATTGTCCTTTCCCCATTCTATAGTCTTGGCATCCTTTACAAAGATTATTCAACTATATGGGCTTTCTATTCTGTTCCATAGATTATATGTCTGTTGTTATGCCAATAATATACTGTTTTGATTACTGTAGCCGTGTAATATGTTTTGAAACCAGAAAATGTGAGTTCTCCAACTTTGTTCTTCTTTCTCAAGATTGTTTTGGCTATTTGGGGTCCTCTGAAATTTCATATTAACTTTAGGATGACTTTTTCTATTTTTGCAAAAAAATACCATTTGGGTTTTGATAAGAATTGCATTGAATCTGTGTATTGCTTTGTAGTGTAGACATCTTAATGATAGTAAGACCCCTAATCCATGAACATGGGGTGTGTTTCCATTTCCTTGTGTCTTCTTTAAATTCTTTCAGTAATGTTTTGTAGTTTTCAGTATACAAATCTTACACCTCCTTGGTTAAGTTTGCTCCTAATTATTTCATTCCTTTTGGTGTTATTATAAATAAGACTGTTTTCTTAATTTCCTTTTTGGATTATTCATTGTTAGTACATACAAATGCAGATAACTTTTTTATTAAGTTCAATTAGCCAATATATAGTACATTAGTTTTTTATGTAGTGTTCAGTGATTCATTAGTTGTGTATAACACCCAATGCTCATCACATCACTTGCCCTCCTTAATATCCATCACCTAGTTACCCCGTCTCCTCACCCCCCCCCCACTAATTTTCTTTAACAGTCTGTTTGCTTATTTATTTGAGAGAGAGCGTGCATACACGTTGTGGGGAGTGGCAGATGGAGACGGAAAGGCAGAGACTCTTTTTTTTTTATTTTTAATTTTTTATTAACATATAATGTATTATTATTCCCAGGGGTACAGGTCTGTGAATCGCCAGGTTTACACACTTCACAGCACTCACCATAACACATACCTTCCCCAATGTCCATAACCCAACCACCCTATCCCTACCCCCTCCCCGCCAAGCCTCAGCTTGTTTTGTGAGATTAAGAGTCTCTTATGGTTTGTCTCCCTCCCGATCCCATCTTGTTTCACTTTTTTCCCTCCCTGCCCCCCCAAACCCCTCACTTTGCCTCTCAGCCTCCTCATATCAGGGAGATCATGTGCTAATTGTCTTTCTCTGATTGACTTATTTCACTCAGCGTAAGAAAGGCAGAGACTCCTAAGGAGACTCTGTACTGAGCACAGAGCCCAACATAGGGCTTGATCACAACTCCAAGATCACAACCAGAGCCAAAACCAAGAGTCAGACACTCAACTGACTGAGACAGGCAGGCAACCTAAATGCAACAAATTTTTTAGTGTTAATTTTGTACCCTGAAGCTTTGCTGAATTCATTTGTTAGTTCTCACAGGTTTTGTGTGTGTGTGTGTGTGTGTGTGTGTAATCTTTAAGATTTTCCACATTTAAGATCATGTCATCTGTGAACAAACAAAATTTTACCTCTTTCTTTCCAAAATGCATGTCCTTTTTTTTTTTTTTTTTTTTTTCCTCCCAATACCCTGGCTAGGACTTCCAGTACTATGTTAAATAGAAGTAGTGAGAGTGGACATCCTTGCCTTGTTCTTGATCTTAGAGGAAAAACTTTCAGTTTTTAACTGTAGAATGTGATGTAGGAGATAGACTTTTTTCTTATGGTGAAGTAATTTCTTTCAATTCTCAGTTTGTTGAGTATATTTGCCATAGAAGTTCATGGCATATGTTTTAATATGTGTAATAGATAACTTATGAACATAGGATGAAGCATAAATGAGGTTTTGTGTATTTTTTTTACATTTTAGGTAAATTAGTTCATGCCACCAGTAGCAGCATGGGCTGTGATGATACTTCAGAAACCATTTTCTAATCACCCCTTGATAATCCACATACTTGACACTCCCTGGTTAAGAACTCTGTGTCTCTAGTGAGAGCCTCTAGAGTCTGGAAACATTTACCAACCAGAACACTGATTTCTTATCACCTTATAGTCAGACCTTCTTGGGTGGCATTCAGAATGGAGCAGAGTAAACACCAGAAGGTGAGTATTTCCCAAAACCTGTGGACAAGAAAATCTTTCTCGTGGATTTAAACACAGGTAAGAGTAGGAGCTGATGCCTTCCTCTCCTGATCTCTTTAGCACAATATCCAATATCTTCATCACTTTAATAGCTAATAAAAACAGCAATGATATTAGCTACCACTTGTTTTATTTTCACTGCACTTCAGACTTTAAACAAATGAATAAATTTACTTAAACCTTACAACAACCCTATGAGGTGGGTACTATAAATATCACCATTTATAGATGAGCAAATTGAGACAAAGACATGTTTGATTATATACCTGAGATCACAGGACCAGTGATAGTGCAGTCTAATCCTAAGCTCCTTCTCTAAACCACTTATAAGCTCATTAAAACTTTCAGAGTTTGGGGGGCACCTGGGTGGCTCAGTGGGTTAAAGCCTCTGCCTTCGGCTCAGGTCACAATCCCAAGGTCCTGGGATCAAGCCCCACATCAGGCTCTCTGGGAGCCTTCCTCCTCCTCTCTCTCTCTCTCTCTCTGCCTACCTCTCTGTCTACTTGTCTGTCAAATAAATAAATAAAATCTTAAAAAAAAAAAAAAACTTACAGAGTTTTATAAAATTTGCAACATTCATTTGATAATTTCAACCTCAGTTCTTTTCTACTATGCTAAAGTGAGAGATGAGCTAAGACCCTCTAAATAAGAGAAGCTTACAAATATACTAGCAATTCATACACTGGAGGATCCCAGATGCAGAAGATAGGCTCCCCCTCCCCCACTGAGAGCCTCCCATTCTAATAAGAGGAAGTATCTCCCAGCCCTGAGTAGTTTCAGGTTTGCTGATTGAGAAACAACCAATAAAATGACTTCAAGATTTCATATAGGTTGCATAATATTCATTAGAAACTCCAGATAGGTATCTGGAACTGATCTAAAATGCTCATACTTGTAGGAGAAAACAACAACTGCTTCCTCTGAGCTCTCATTAGACAACTCTCATTTTGTTCAGAATTATTTGTGTAGACTGCCTCCACACGACAAGCTCTTTCTTCTCAGAAGTCCCAGGCCCAGCTTAAGGCACCAGAGGGCCCCTCAATGTTTTCTGCATGAGTAATTCTGCATTTACAGATTAAACAAAAAATTAAAAGTTCAAGGAATGCTAAAAATAATATCTGTGATTTAGATTTTGAACATGGGCACAACTGAGGAGGTAAATTGTAACCTCTTATTCTGACTATATTAAATACCTCACCAAACAATTTGATGATCATTATAATATTTTCTGTTTTCTATAACATTAAGAATTAGTATATATACCAATTTATGGAGCAGGAAACTAAAGAGAGCTAGCTGGTGCTACAACCTTATTCAAACAAAATTGACAGGAACCAGCTAATCTAATTACAAATAGTCTTTCCTGGATATGGCAAATGGCAACTTTAGCATCCTTTTTTTTTTTTTCTTTTCTTTTTTTTTTTTTTTTTTTTTTTAGTGTTTAGATACATTTCTACCAACCCTTTGTTTTCTTCCCCATCTCTCTACTCATGTCACCTCATTTTCCAGTTGTGTGCTGTCCCCTCCATTTGCCTCCATTTCCTCCTCCATCAAATATCCACTAGTTTATAGAAGATCTCCTCTTTTCCTCTATGAGCCCTCATCACCTTCTATCTCACTATCACAGAGGACAATGATTCTCCAACTAGTCTTCCCAAGTAATCTCTCTCCCTCACTGTCACTTTTATGGAAAGATTTGAGAAATTTAAGGGGAAAGAGCCTTAAGCCATGGGTTCTAGTCTCACATTTGATACCCACATATGCCCTTTCTTTTCCCTCTAGTATTCAGACTCTTTAAGTATTCCCAAGGGTTGTTGAAGTATTAACTAAAGTGATGCATGTGAAAACACACCATAAGCCTTAAAGGACTAAAGAAATGCATGTTGTCTTTTAATATGTGATTCTCACATTGAAGGGAATACCCAGGGCGCCATTAAGTAACGAATCTAGTTTGAAGGAATTATCAGAAACAGCAAAGTTGCTGAACACAAGTGGCTCAGAGCAGGGCCAGAAACCAGTGTCCCTTCCTGGAGAAGCAAGTACCTCTGGACATCACTCCCTACGAAAACTGGGTAAGAAAAAATAATATGGGGATTTTTAGTCCCTCTAAGTTCTCCAGAAAGGTTGATGAATACAATGTAGGTATGTGGGACAGACTTTGCCTAGGCCTGGGTTTAAGCTAGACTTACCTGAGACCTGTAGTTAGCATTGAGGCCTTGGACAAATCTTATAAATTCTCTGAGCTCCTGAATTCTAATCTGTAGAATGAAGATAAAGATGTATAGTTTATATATTGTTTGAAAGCATTAATTTAACATAAAATAATTGACCCACACAAGTTGTCCAATAAATCCCTCAGTGATAATAAAGACCATACTTTCTTGGTGTTGAATGCCCAGGCCCTTGTTCAATGCCTGACATGTAATGTACCCTCAACAAATATTTTCTGAATGAAGAAATATGTGAATGAACCATTTTCTAAGAGGAAAGACTACAAAGATTAACCTGATAATGGCGAAAAAAAGTAAAATTGAATTAGCCATCTCTAGTCAGTATGGAATCTTACACTCTGAATAGTTTGGGGACGGCAGAGAACAGAGTATATAGAAGGACAGGTAATAATTTATCAGAGGAGATTTTATGTTTTCTGACAAAACAGGGACTAACACTCCAGACCCCACCAGCCTCACTCACATAGTCTTTTCCAACTCAGCACTCAGGAGAAAGGATGTTGAAGTAAAGATGTATAGTCTACGAGAAAGAAAGAGCCTTGCGTACCAGGAGGTCAGCGAGCCCCAGGATGATGACTACCTCTGTAAGTGGCCAACTTGGCCCACTCTCAAAGGAACTTGTTCTCTCCTGGTACCATAACTGGGTCTTGTCTTTGGGTCCCCAAATCATCCCCTCCCTCTAGTGACTAGGAGTACAAGGTAGAGGCCAAATGATGTGAGTGTTGGGCTCTTTCTGAAACTGCTCAAGTCCAGGAACATGCAAAATCCTTTCCTAATCCCTGTTGCTCTCGCCTCCAGATTGTGAGAAGTGTCAGAACTTCTTCATTGACAGCTGTGCTGTTCACGGGCCCCCTACATTTGTAAAGGACAGTGCAGTGGACAAGGGGCAACCCAACCGCTCAGCCCTCACTCTGCCCCCTGGGCTGAGAATCAGACCATCAGGCATCCCTCAGGCTGGGCTTGGAGTATGGAATGAGGCATCTGATCTGCCATTGGGGCTACACTTTGGCCCCTATGAGGGCCAAATCACAGAAGATGAAGAGGCAGCCAACAGTGGATACTCCTGGTTGGTGAGAACCATCATCTCTTCCCCCACCCTCTGGCTTCCCACAACCCTCCTATGGATTGGGAGGACGTCACCATCTACGTGGATGGGGGTTATAACATGGCTAGCTCTGTGTACTGAGTGGACTTTGCATGAACCTGGAGCTCCTACTTAAAGATCAGAGGGTAAGAGGAGATATAATCATACAGACACAAACAGGCTCCTCCCTTGTGAGACCCCTGCCCTGAATTGACAAAGTGACCCAGATGTGTAGGTGATGACTAAGGAGCACATCATGTGGTCACACTGGGGACTGATCCCATGCAGGCTGGAAGAGCACAGACCGCAGGAGAGTAAAATAATCCCTCTATTACCTCCCCACCAAAAAAAAAAAAAAAAAAAAAAAAAAAAGTCTTTAATTTCCCTTTCTCAAACTCAGATCACCAAAGGAAGAAACTGCTATGAGTATGTGGATGGAAAGGATAACTCTTGGGCCAACTGGATGAGGTAAGGCCGACAGGGTTCTGGCTTCTGGAGAAAACATTCATCCTCACAAACCCATGCTCCTTTCTTTTTTGTCATGCCCCCTCAATGGTCTCCCTCAATCCTCTGTTCTGCATTTTTCTCCTTATAATGCTCTTTCACTTCGAGTGACAGTTTTGGTAAAAAGGAGCTAAGAACATAGTATATGTCCTCAAAATATGCTAGATAAAATTTGAACCCTGGAAAAAACCCTGAGGAGCCCAGATTCATGAGGAACACTGGATTCACACTTTAATTTATCAACTCAACATTCATAAGCACTTACTGTGTTCCACAGTGGAGTTCATTACTTACACATATTATGCAACCCATGTCCTATGGAAGACATATTGCAGATAGACAGTAGAGGATTGACTTTAGGAATATTTAACTATAATCTCCCTATTTTTCAAGGGCACACAGTGTAGGGATAACCTTTAATGCGTGAGGGCAGCAGCTCTTCCTAGCCTCAGTTCTAGTAGAACTGGTTCTGAAGCCTGTGTAAAAATGGGCTGCAGAATGGCCACAGGCCTCTGCACTTCATGATCCAGCTCCCTTCCTTGAGGGGCTCACATGTTAGCAGGGGATGCATTATGAATAAAACATTGTTTTCCTTTGTTGTTGTGCAAGACAGAGAGAGCTCTGAGGTTCTGTGGGAACTTGGGCAATGCATGCTTCAGACACGGTATGGGGAGATTAGAGACAGGCCTCTCAAAGGAACATAGATTTGGGCTGAGTATGGAATGATGCGTAGTGGTCTAGAAGCAGAGTCCATGACCAAACACCATGCTATAAAACAGAACTTAATTTAGAGTTAAGAGAAACTAGATGTCACTGGGCTTTGTGACCAATCAAAGTGACGGTGAGTCTGGAGTTGGGATTTGAAAAATGGTTAAGCAGGCAAGGGAGAGAGCCTTCTAGGCTGACTGAGGGCAGTGAGCAGAACTTAGAGATGGGAATTCATACGTTGTTTTGATGGAGGCTTGAGTATGAGCAGGGCATTCCCTGATGAGCAGTGGGGGAGTGGGCAGCATAACAGCACGGAGGCCTTCAGGTGGTGGGAACTTACCTCCTCTGGTCCTCTTTCCCAGGTACGTGAACTGTGCCAGGGATGATGAGGAGCAGAATCTGGTGGCCTTTCAGTATCGCAGGCAGATCTTCTACCGAACCTGCCGGGTCATCAGGCCAGGCTGCGAACTGCTGGTCTGGTACGGGGACGAGTACGGCCAGGAGCTGGGCATCAAGTGGGGAAGCAAGTGGAAGAGCGAGCTCACAGCAGGGAAAGGTGGGCACCACTGCTCTACAAAACAGAAAGAAAAGGAAGATTTCTCCTCGGCAGTTTCCACAGTCCAACTCTTAAGCAGAGTAAACCCTGTCTAAAGTCAATGCAGTTGCAATTCCAATGCTTCAGAAATAATTCGGAATTCACAGGCATGGGACTCTTAGGAACATTATTTTCATTTTTAATTTCTGTTCTGATTTCTTAAATACTTCATACACAAAACATATAATAGAATATACTGATAAAAAAAATTGTAGAGGCAAAAAACAAGTTTTCAGGCACCTACCAGCTCTCTTACCAAGGCAGTTTCTTCTGCCCTTTTAGCTCTTTCTTCTTAATTTGCTCCATATTTCCTTCTTTTTTTTTTCTTTGCTCCATATTTCTAAACGATATCTGTCTGTTGGTGTGTAGTCACCCATAAATCAGGTAGCTATCATGGGAGTCCCTATTCTGTGCCAGACAGGCTTCCAGGACTGAACAAGGTGTTCAGAGTCACTGCTCATCAGCAGCTAATGACTGAATGAACGAGGGAAACGTGCACAAAGGTATGC